TTGATGCTTTGGTGGGATTAGTGACTACTGCTGCTCATGTCAATGTTGAAAAGGCTGAAGCTTACGAAAAGAAGCTCAAATCACTCCCTGGTTTGAAGGGAATTAATGTAGATGATCTTGAAACAACCTCTGGTGCAAAGCCTGCTGAAAATGGATCTCGTCTTGTGAATATTGAAGGGCATGATGAGATTAAGAACAAGGATAAAACTAAGAAGAAAAGGAAGAGAAAGCCAAGATATCCAAAGGGATTTGACCCTGCTAATCCCGGCCCTCCACCAGACCCAGAGCGTTGGTTGCCAAAGAGGGAGAGATCTACCTTCAGACCCAGGAGAAAGGATAAGAGGGCAGCTCACGTTAGAGGCTCCCAGGGTGCTGTTGCTCGGGATAAACAGGAAGCTGGAACTTCTGATGGTCCTGTTCGCAGTTCTGGGGCTGATAATGCTGATACAAAGGCCACAAATTCAAAGTCAAGCCAAGCTAACAGCTCGAAAGCAGCCTCTCAGAATACTGGTGGATCTAAATCAAGAAAGAAGTCAAGAAAATAGTCCGTTGTTTAACCTTCATCGCAAATTTTTTTCATCCTGTCAGCATTTTTGTTTTTGAGATTTTGCTCTCATTTTGGGTTTATGTTGTGTCTGTGACCCTTTTTTAGTCTCACTTGACAGTTAAATATTGTCGGTCTCTTATTTTTGGACTAATAGTAACACAATTAAATCCACACAAAATCTTGAATTATTCTGCATGCTTTTGCCTCTTGTGTTTAACAAAGAATAACTTAAGGCTATGTTCTCGTCGACTTAGGTTTAAAGAACTATACTTATTTATGCTAAAACGAAATTATCTTGCTGAAATAAAATTATTGTTGCTGAACTCTACTAGTTGACGGACTCATACTGTTTTTTAATCTCAACTTTTACCAATTTATTTTCTTTAATCCCAACTTTGGATTATTCCTCAATAATCCCAACTTTAAGGTGGCCTATCATTCTTCAATCCCAAAAATCGGTGACCGGTTGAATGGTTTTTTTTTTAAATATACGTAGTGTGTGTGTGTGTCTATATATATATATATATATATATATATATATATATATATATATATATATATATATATATATATATATTTTTAAAGTGACACGTGTCACAAGTTAATTGGTTAATGAAAATTTAATTAAAAAAAAAAAATCAGAAACCTTGAAAATTAATTTTTTTTTTCAGAAAACCCCCTTGCCACCCTTGCCACACCGTCCACCGGAAGCCTAGCCCCACCGTCCACCGGAAGCCCAGCCACCCAACCCACCAACACCCACGGCCTGTCTTCATCCCGCCACCCCTGCCGCACCTTAATCCCCCTCCCCACGTCGGCGACTCCCTTCCCCCTAAACCATCAAACCACCATTGCTAAACACCCTGATATCTAAAAATAAACCGCTTCCCCCACCGTATAAAACCCCCAGCCATCTTCTCCGACCCAAATCAGCCCACTAGCAGCCCCCGCTCGCTTCCCCTGCTCCCCAAACTCAACAACAACAACCCCACATCAACCTACAGCCGCCCAAAACCACCGGCAGCGGCAGCAACACGTCAATTGCGCCCAAGTCACCACCATAAGAAGCGCCAACCATCATAACTTCGCACAACAATATCACCTATCCGCAACCAAATTGCTCCAATCCACCATCAATTATATCAATTTGGCAGTTAAATACAACAATTCCGGCCTCCAATCGAAGCAGCAACTTCGAATTGTGCTCCAATTTGAATACCCAAACCGTGCGTCGTGCTCTTGAGACGGTTTGGTGTTAGATTATTTAAAGTGTTGATGGTTGCGCGCTCGCAAACTATGAAGAGCGCTCGCGCAAGGTAGGCGCGGTCGCGCAGAGAGCGCGCCTAAACCGCGTACCTCTCTGGAATTTGGCTATATGGAAGAGTGAAGTTGGCGCACCCGCGCGTCTTAGATGGCGCGCCCACGCCTGTGGTCGCGCCTAAACCGCGTACCACACTGCCTTCCTGTGAAAATTTTGCATTTCAGAAGAGGAGCGCCCTGTCACGTGCCGACTACTTTGCCCTAGTCACGCACCGTGCGCCACCCGCTTACAGTCCGTCGTAAGACGAGTCAGGCTTTCTCCTTGGCACTTACTCCTTGTGCCCACGTAGCACAACTCCTTGTGCTGCTAGTATAAGTTTGCTAGCACGATCCCTTTGTGCTAACAAGTCCCCTTTGGTTGAACTAAGCACTCACCCTTAGTGCCTTAGTCCGAATTTACGACTAAGTGTCGTAGACAATTGAGCACCCAAGCTATCACCCTTGCTGGTATGCCCGATCACTCACTTGGCACCCTCGTGCCTTAGTTTTCCTCACACTCTCTAAGTGTTGGAAGGAAAGGATTGAGTTGCAAGAGAACACAAGTGCTTAAGAAAGGCTTTTTGTATTGCTCACAACTTATAGCTCTTAACTTGTTGATCTCTCAACTTAAATGTACAAATGAGCCTTGGAGCCTATTTATAGTGCTCCACCCTACTTACTCTCTTTCTCTAGAATGTTCCTAACCTCCTCAAATGGAGGGTTCTAGACTACAACAATCTAGAGAGTTCCCACCTCCAAAGGAACATACATACAAGGAGGTTTCTACATACTTCCTACCTAGAATGTTAAGGACTACCCTAGAACATTCTAAAACTTTACATTCAAAATGTACATACATAGAAGGCACTAGAGACTTCTAAGATGCACTGGATGAACCTTGAATATTCTAGAGATATCCTCTCTAGAATACTCCTCCAAAAGAACTCCGTAGATAGCTCCGGAACCTTCTAGAAGCTTCCCACGTTTCCCGGGCTACCTGCTGCACAAACTTGTATTTCGGGACCTTGTCTCGGAAAACTGACACCACCATCGTCTTCCTTGGCCCAAAATACTGTGGACCCCCGAATTTGGGCCCATTTGGTCTTCATTTGGGTCTCCAAACGACCCATTATTGTGTTACTGTCAAGTGGGTGTTCACTAGGATTCTAAGCAAGGTGCAATATAAAGCTCTTTAGGGGGAAGTGCTTACCTGAGCACCAAGGCAAGCCCCCTAGCCCCGATTGTTGCCTTGCTGCCTAGTGACCCTCTGGACGCCCATCCTTGGTGTGGGAGATGACCCGTGACAGCCCGCTCCACCTTAAGGCGCGCCCGCGCCTTCTGGTGGAGCGCCCGCGCCTGTCTGTTTTTGCGATTTTATGATGGTTAAGTCTTTATTAAAAGGCTTGATTTCGTGAATAGAAGATACACAGAAAATTTTCTCTAACTCTCCAAAGAAATTCTCCACACTTATTCTCTCAAATTTCTTGCAAACTTTTGTGAGAATTCTCTTCCAATTAATTCAATATTGTGAATTATTCATCTTCAATTCGATTCTTAGTGCAAAGAACAATTGGCTGTCTTTTGTATCTCAAAGAGTATTTCCGGATCAAACCCAAGCACAGTTGTGGGGGAAATTAATCTCTTTAGGAAAGTGTTTACACGCCTAAGACAGTGTATCTTGAGACTCAAGTGGTCACCGAAATTCTCATGTTCATGTTCTTGGTGTTGGCTTGGAGTTGAGGCAAGTATAGAACTTTCACATTAGTGTTTTCATTGTATTTTCTGTAATACATTGGTAGTTTGGTGTTTGGTTGTAATACATTGATTAGTATTTGGATTGTTGTATAATTTAATTTTAATTATACATTGTTTAGGTTTTGTTTCCCACAATTCTAAGTAATTCTCATTGTCTTGAATTGCTGTAAAACCTAACATTTGGGTGGGTTTTTTGGCGGTTTTTCAATAAGGTGGGTGGGTTTTTTCTGGAATTCGAGGGGTTTGGGTGTTCGATTGGGTGGTCGGAAGCCATGGAGGAGAAAGGGAAGGGAAGAGAAGGGGATTTCAAGTGGGTTTCGGGTAGGGGTTTCAAGAGGAAGTAAAAGGGCGGCCGGAAATGGAGGGGATGGGGGGACTGCGGGAAATGGAGGGGATGGTAGCTGCCATTAATGGAGGTGGAGGGGAAGGGGCTGTTAAAGGTGAAGGGGGGAATAAAAAAAAATTAATTTTTTTTATTAAAAATATAATGGAAAAATAAAAGGAAATTTTTTTCTGTTTTTTAAAAAAAAAATTTGGTTCAGTCAAACAAAAAAAAAAAAAAAAAATTTGACCACTCACGTGGCGACATGTGTCCAGCAACCAACAATAGAAGGTTGTTGACTTTTGTTGACCGGTTTGGGTATGAAGAAAGATAGGCCACCTTAAGTGGGATTATTGAGGAATAATCCAAAGTTGGGATTAATAAAAATAATTGGTGAAAGTTGGGATTAAATAACAGTATTAATCCTTCTTTTTATGAAAATTGGCCTCAGGTAGTTTATTAACCCCAGTTTGCTACTCTTTACTGCTATAACTGCACCCAATTTTCATAGCCAATGCTTCTGCACATGGTAATTTATATACTTCTTAAGGGACCAAGTTTAGGGCTAAGTAAGACTACAAGCTTGTCTTGTATGTACGTCAATATTCGATCTGTTCCAAATTGGTTTCAGTCCTCAAATAAATTTCTTGGTTTCGCCAATGATGAATAGGTTGATGTTGCTTGGTATGCCATCAAACTTCAACATCCAGAATCATAACAATATTAAGGTTGTATAGTAGTAGTGACTCTTATTATACCAACTTATTAGTTCAAATTTTGTTGTGCGTTGAGGTTTAACTTGAGTAGGTTTAATCGTGAACTTTTCTTGTAAATGTGGTAAAAGAAGTCCAAGAAAGAATAGAATGCAATACAACAGGGAGCTAAACACAAAAGCTTGTTTAAACAGATACAGCCAACAGTAATTGATATCAATCAATATAGGGCGAGATTATTGATGAATATATAATGGTGGCTCGCTGTTGCTCTTATAAAGGGAAATAATCTTCAAGTGTTGACAGGCCTGCAGCTGGTATGTTGTCGATTGCTGTCGAACATGGGTGTAGCTTGAAGATGCAATTGACAGTGAACTAGATCCAATATTAGCAATTAATTATATGGTATTCAGACTTATAACAGAGACTTAATTACATCGGAACAGTTATATAGAAGTTCATGGAAGTTGTTATAATTACTCTCAATATGAATTTGCTTATACTTGTATTATTCTGCTTTAGCATGTTTTCATGTGTGCCAGAACCTTTGGCCACTCTTTAGAAATCTAACATCAGGTACATGTTTGACAACGGAATGATATTGCCCATCTTGTAGAAGGCTACGATCAAATTCCCATGGTGTATCAAAGAAAGTGAGTGTTTCTAGCCTCGGGAGGTACTTGATTCCCAGTGGCACCTCCAGTCTCGGACTTACGCCGATTGCCATATGCTGAAGTAGAGGCAAAGCACCTTTGTATATAGTCAAAGTCTTGAGAGCTTGCAAATCAAGGAGATGGAGGATCTTAAGCTTCTTGAACCCTGCAGCGCCAATTTTTAAAGTGTCACCACAATATGCATCTAACAACTGAAGTTCCACTAAACTAGGCAATGTTTCCAGGCATTCAAGGGGATCAACATCGTCTAAGCATGACCACCTTAGACGAATTTTCACTAGGCAGTGGAGCTCGAGGATCCAGCTAGGGAATGGTGGCATCAACGGTCCATTCAGATAGAGGCGTTTAAGTGTTGAAGGAGGCGACTGGAAATGCTCTAAATCCATCCATTCAGTCATATTTTTCGAATATACACTAAATGCCTGAAGGCATTCCATCTTTTCAATTGCAGCACAGAGATCTTTCCCATCTTCCAACTTGAGCACAACGATTCCTAGCTTTCTCAACTGCCTCAAATTTCTTAGCTCCTTGATCACAGTACTATTATGCTCCACATCAACAAATGCCAGCTTCTGTAGCTCCCCAAAATTCTCCAATACCCCCTTTGGTAACTTCAATCCTATCGTCTTCATGGTGTGGAGACTAAAAGCAGGATCATGCTCATAGCAATATGTAAGAAGATGGCTTAGTTTGTGGAGCTCGTTGATTTCAGCAGGAAGCTCATGAATGGGAGTTTGTTTCAAATCCAATGTTTGGAGATCTTGAAGCTTACCAATAGAGCTTGGCATCCTTTTAACTCGTGTATTTCTTAGGCTTAAATACTGCAAGTTGAGTAACTTTCCCACTTCCTTTGGAAGTTCATCTATGGGAGCATTACATAGATCAAGAACTTTCAGCTGGCGATTGTTGTTCAATGCTTTAGTTAACACCTTGGGCCATAGCTTTACTGGTGCTGTTGAATCTGTTATCAGCAGGATGGACCGGGTGTTCGACTTGCTTCTGATAACAATCTCCTTTGCTGGATTCGCTACTGCATTATTGAAGCTATGGTCTATGTTGATGGACAATCGTCGAGGCTCCACATTTAAATCAATAATGTTGGAGTTCTTATCTGGAAGAGTGTGACAAAAATTGAACTCCTTTACCTTAGAAAGGATTATTTCATGCAGGTATTCATGGACTCGTAATGTCTTAGGTTTGCCAGTAGCATCTGTGCGCTCAACTTCAACTATGTTCATACCAATAAGTTGATTGATGTATTCTTCAGCAACTTCTTCGAGCGTCAAGTTACTGCTTTCTCCGATAAAACCTTCAGCTATCCATAATCGAATGAGCTGCATTCGATCAACAGGACGACCTTTAGGAAACAAACCAAAGTACAGGAAACAAGGCTTCAGGCGACTTGGCAAACTGTGGTAACTGCGAATCAGGATGTTGTGAACTCCTGTTAGATAATCTTGTTGCAGGTAAAACCCAAGGCATTGATGCACTTTTTTCCATTCATAAGGGTCATCTGACCTCATAGATAGAAAACGGCCCATTTCTAATATAATGAGTGGCAGCCCTTCACATCTTTTGACAATGTCGCGAGTTAGATCTTGCAACGACGAGGGACACTCTCCTCTATGGCTTTGAAATGCCTTCTTGCAGAACAACTCCAACGCCTTTTCTTCTGTTAAAGGCTTGAGTTTGTATAAACCATGATTTGAACCATCAAGCCAAGTACGGGCTACATTCTCGTAGCGTGTAGTCATTAATATTTTGCTGCCTTTGTTATTATCAATTGGTAACACACTTTTGATGTAATTTGCCAACTTCATGTCATGATCTTGAATATCATCAATAACAACCATGTACCTAAGAGTAAAACAAGGATTTAAAACATGACAAATGACACTAAAAAAACATGCTTAAATTTAAATCATTCAGTACAGTACATCTGAAAAAATAAGTTGTAATGGAACAAACACAATAAATTGTTGCATTAAAATGAGCATAGTATTAAGTTGTGCTATCATCACATATATGCACATACTTAAACCTATAGTTTTGATCATATTGACTGAAACTGGCATCATAAATTAGATGATCTCTACCAGAATGTAAAGTAGTTGCTTAAGCATTGAAGAATATAAGGATACGTATATGATACCTCTTCTCCTTCAGATAGCTTCTCACAAGATTCTGCAAGGACACTACATCAGTGGAGTCAGTCCGATTAAGTGTAGTGTAGGCGTCTGCATTCTTGTCTGGCCTTCCATCATCGTTACAATGATTGATCCTGCAAGCTGAAATTTTATGAAGCACATTGATTTCTTTAGTTGCCTCATAAAATTGTTTGATCATGCTTTTCAGTACGTCGACATGGTTGTATGGCCGGGATACATGAACCCAAGCACGGATAGGGAAGTAGTCTTTTACTGTTGCATCATTATAAACACTCCCAACAACTGTTGTCTTTCCAAGCCCTCTCATGCCAATCACAGCTATCATTGGAGATATCCTCGAATCCTCGAAATCCTGTAAGCCTAGCAGCCCTATTAAATCTAGTTTAGCTGTTTCAACACCCACCAATTCATATTCCTGGGTTATGCACACAGGAGTACTTGTATGTTGATAAGCTCCTTGAATTCGGATGCAGTTGTGCTCCTGCAGAGTAACACTACTACTGCTGCTGCTACTACTACTCCTGATGTAGGAGTAGGAGGAGTATATGTCTTTTCTCCTACCGAGTTCTTTTGCCCTTTCGCGCAAAGACTCAATTGTGGAGGCAATGTTTCGTACTTTCAGTGACATATGCTGCATCACCTTACCAAATGCATTTTCTTTTTGGTAATGCTTATATGCTTCAACGACATCTTCTATGTCATCAGCCAATGTTCTTACTTGTTTTATCCATTCTTTTACAGACTCATCATCTTCCTCGGCCCTCTTATCCATATCCCTTAGCAATGCTAACATGCTATTCAGCTCATTGCAGATATCTTTGACTTGGTCTTGCAAACCATACATTAAGGACACTTCATCTTTGATTAAAGGTAACAATAATTGGATAGTGAATTGAACTGTACTGTATATATCTGCCATTCTTGTTCGGTTCCTTCAGCTACCGAGTGAGCTTTCTGGATGTATATGTAGTCAATAGATTCACCTGCTGGATGCACATGAATCAGTACATGTGAAAAAATGTGCTTCTTCCATTTTAGTTTAGTTGACACGTATAATCTACTTTAATTTAACTGTCGTTTGTGAATTATACTTCAAATATCAGCTTTTTTTAATTTTTCACGTATTATTAATTAAAACTACAAATAATTTAATATATGCATTGGCAAACATGTGAAACAAAATTACAGAGGACCTACTAAGGACTACTAACTAGGTACCTACGGTGGTTTTGTGGAATGACATGAATATGCCTAAATTGATGTCACATCCTTACAAACTTCAATATGATGTTGAACTCTATATTTTTATTCTATAATATTTACATGTGGTCTGAATCTCAAATATATCTGTAATATCACCATTTTTGTGGTTCTAAACAAGATATCAATATACCAAGCCAGCCTGGTGGATTAATTTTTAGTCAATAATTATTCATAGAATTTAGTCAATAATTATTCATAGAATCTGAAAATGAATTAAGCTGATCAATTGCTCAAGAAAGCATATAAGAAATGCACATAAGAAATGCACATCTTTGTCAAAAAAAAAAAAAAAAAAAAAAAAAAAAGAAAAGAAATGCACATAACAACTTATACATCAAATTAAAGTGGATAATTACTCCACAACACTTTATAACTTTTACCAATACACAATTAAAGAGAACAAATTAAAGTAAGTGCAATGCAACTTATACAAGACAGAGTAATCATAACAATAGTATGTTGATTTATAAGCTATGTACCAAGGTAGCTTGGAGGAATGGTGGATATGGTAGATAACTCACCTTGTGACTTTGAGATCACAAATTCGAGCCCATCATTTATATAAACATTGGAGTAGGGGATTAATCTAACTGTTGAGCTCTGTGGATACCATTTAGATTGTATCAGACGGATTGATTCTAAAAGAAAAGAAAACTGCAACATAAATTTGAAACTTAATTGATCATGATAAATACCATAATAGATTTACCTCTGAAATATATATAGGTTAGTTTGGGGTGTTGGATCAACCCTTAACGAAAGCCACAACCACAACCGAAGAGATTGATCAGTCCGAGTTCATTATAATGTAAGTTGTATCAGATGACTTAAAAAAAGAATAGGACGGATTGTATATACAATTTATAGTAGTTGAAGAATATGATTAGGATGATGATGAGAAGTTTGTGAGCAAGTTCCCGGCCACTGACTAGTCAAGTAAACTGTCGTGTTTACTCCCCTCAATCGGTAAGGTACGTAGAATCTAGAAGACATAAATAAATGATGGAAGACCTTACTTATGTTATGATCGAGTCAATGGCGCGTCTCATTCGTATATACTCCGATCCAGTGGTCCCATATACCGAGTCTTAGTCCATTGCTCGGGTAGACCTTACTTAGGTTTCATGAATGAATGGTCCCATTCAATTTCATTCCAATTTCTATGTCTCATTCATATATAATCCATTGGTCCCATACGAATGGATTATATTCAAGAGGAAGGGCAGCTTGTCAAGCTAATGTAGGGCTAAGTAGGGTATAGTATAGTAGGTGAGCGAGTTAGCGATCAGGCTAAGTCCAAAGCGGACAATATCATACAATCATACCATTGTGGAGTGCGTGCGGCCCAACAACCATCTTTTTTCACAGCCCTAGCCTTAGTGATTTTTATTTTTTTGAAATAACCCTAGCCTCAGTAATTAAATATAAATAAACAATTGTGTTTCAAAAAAAGAAAAAATATATATATATAAATAAACAACTTTTTTTTAAACAAATTAATTCATTAATAAAAAAGCCATACAACTCTACAAAGGAAATCTAAATTAACATATACATAAAATTGAATCAAATTAGGGTTTCCTTCAAAAAAGTTACGATTGTTGAATAGATCTTGCAGTGTGGTACATCTCTCGCATACATCGCTGGAATATACAATCTTTTCGGAGAGACGGTCTAATGATTTGTTGTAGCCGTAAGGATGATTTTCATCTGATTCACTTGAACGCATTTGAAAATTCGACAACCGTTGCGATCCCGAACAAATCTTTACCAATGAATTGAACTGATAATAGGGCAAAAGATGATTACTTTTTTGATAAACCCTAACATACTAACAAACCAACACAAACAACTAAATAAACAAAAACTAACGACTCCACCATAGGGAGACAGATGAATTCTACACTACTCGTGTAGAAATTAGACTATTCCGAAGAAATTAGACTATTTCCGGCCTAAACGGCCAAGATTTTGGAGAAACCCTAAAAAAGAGGAGGAGAGAAGAGAAGAGGATAGGAGAGGAGAGGCGAGAGATCCTATACTTCGTGAACTTTGTATTGACTATTGAGTATTTTATACTATGTAGATGCGAGGGAGCCCCAGTTTCTCATAGTGAGAAACAAAATTTGTTTCTCACATGGCATTTTTGTAAATAAACCAACAACTTTATTCAATTGTAGAGCCCACAATAATGAAAAAGTTGTTGATTTATTCACGAAAATACCCCCATGAGAAACAAATTTCGTTTCTCACTATGAGAAACAGGGAATTTCCCATGTAGATGCTAGAGAGATTAGTATAAATAAATAAACAACTTAGTAATTAGTATATGGTTGCCCTAGCTAGGGAAAATTAGCATTGACAGAGAGAGGCACGAAATCATTATACATCAATGAGAGATAATCGAAGGTCCTTACCCAATGATTTGATCATTGAAATCCTCCTAAAATTACCAGCAAAATCTCTTGTTCATTTAAGATCAACATGCAAAACCTGGAATTCTCTAATAAAAAACCCTGGTTTTGCCAAATCCCACTTTCACCATTTATCATCACAAAACTTTACCTTATTACTATCCTATCTTTTCTTTCGATCCGACACATACATTTTTTCTATCAATCTCAACCTTAACCTCAAAGAAGTGACTAATAATGAGGTACAAAGAAACTTTGTGTCGTTAGCCCTGCCATTCGATACGTGCTTAGTAAGAGCGGCCAAGGGAAAGGGATACTGTCCTCTTGGATCATGTAATGGTCTTGTTTGCCTTCATGGCCTTGGCGCTAACATTGTTATAGTTTGGAATCCCGTCACTAACGAGTGTCGAGATATTCGATCCCCTATCGATGGCTATAGCATTTGTAGATCCGGTTTTGGGTTTGCCTCGTCAATTAATTAATGATTATAAGATTATGTTGGTGGTAGGCCGATTAACTAAAGTTAATTGTGGTGGGAGTCATAATCTATAATATATGTTTATTCGTTTAAGATAAATGAGTGGAGATTATTAGATTTCGATGTTGTTGTGCAGTGGCGGACCCAGGATTTTCCGACTGGTGAGTCACAATCGATAATCAAATATGTTAAAAAATTTTTTTTACCAAACAACCAAATAATAGTACTAAAAAATACATCCAAATATTCAAACAGTACAAAATACAACCAAATGTTCATATAATACTACAAAAGACAACTAAATAGTAATGCAAACTTATTAAAATAGTTCTCGACGAGTTTTCATGTTTTGATATCGATTCATGATATCTTCCATGCTAACATTCAAAAACAAATCATTCTCCAAATAAGTAATTAAACAATCATTCAACATTTGATCTCCCATGCTATTTCGTAGTTTGTCTTTCACTTGCTTCATGCCAGAAAATACTCTTTCCACACTTGCCGTTGCGACAGGAAGAAGCAACACCAATTTCAAAAGTAAATAGACCCTATCATGAGTTTCAGACAATCCCGTTTCAACCAATTTGATTGAAAGATCACTAAGACCCTTCAAATTCCAAAACCTTTCATCTCCTCTAACAGAACAAATGTAACTATCAAGTGTATGACCAAAGACTATCAATTCTGAACTTGGAAATTCATTAGGATAGAATTTTGCAAGCTTAATCAATTTTTCCTTATCAAACTTAGAAAAACGATCCACAGGACTCAAACAAGACATACACACAAGTAGTTCTTTAGTTATTTCGGGAAATCGATTTTCAAGTTCTTGCAATTGAAGATCAATGACACCAAAAAAAACTTCAACTCGAAAATGATGTAGATTGGACACTTGTGGGCATTTACCTCTAAACAACCTCCTCCCGGGAACAACATATTTAGCCTCCATATCTGGAACTGCAATGTCATAGTCACCAATAAAAGAAATTACCTTTTCCATATGAGAATCCCATCCTTCATCTCTCATTTTTTGCAAATTAGTCTTGGTTACATTAACCATGGCCATTGCATTCACAATGTCTTGATCGTGCTTTTGTAAGGCCACATTCAAAGCATTTGTTATCGCAAATATACTAACCATCAAGTGTGCCACGAACACAAAATCAAAGGACATCAGAAGATTTGTAAGTGTTTGAGCTCTATTAGAATCTATTGTATCAGATACTTTTGCAATATCCTCAAGAGAACCAAGGATTACAGGGAATAAATCAAGTACATTCAAGATTGTCTTGAAGTGAGATCCCCAACGAGTATCACAAGGTCTACCTAATCCACGTTCTTGATTTAAACCTGAACCCGTTTCAAGTTCACCTAGAGACAATGCATCCACCACTCTTTGAGCTTGATTTTCACGAAGAAACTCTTTCCTTTTTGGTGAACCCCCCACAAAATTCAAGAGAGGTGCAAGTACATCAACAAATAACCAAGCACAATCTGAATTCTTTTTAGCAAGTGCAACTTGAGTTAATTGAAGTTGGTGAGCAAAGCAGTGGACAAAATAAGCTTCTTTACACTCATTCTCTATAAGAGTCCTAAGGCCATTAATAGAACCTTGCATATTACTTGCCCCATCATAACCCTGACCCCGTACTTGAGAGAAAGACAAAGAATGCTCCATTAATAAGGATTCAATAGCAGTTTTGAGAGTCAAAGAAGCAGTGTTTACAACATGCACAATACCAAGTAAACGCTCACACACTTCTCCCTTTCTATTAACATATCTCAAACAAAGAGCCAATTGTTCCTTGTCAGAAACATCAGCGGACTCATCAGCAAGGATAGAAAATAAACCACCATCAATATCTTCAAGCATTGCTTTAGTGGTCTCTTTTGCACATGCATTTATGATATCTTTTTGGACTTTAGGAGAAGTAAGTTGACAATTACTAGGAGCATTTTTGAAAACAACTTTAGAATATTCAGGATTACCTTTGGAAATAAGGGATAAAAGTGAAAGAAAGTTACCTCTTCTTAAGGAACTTTCTTTTTCATCATGACCACGGAAAGGCAACCCTTGGAGTAAAAGCCATTGGATAGATTCAATTGAAGCTTCAAGTCGCGTCCTATATGCATTTGTACTCTCAGCGGTTTGTTTTGTTAAGGCTTGTGTGATGCTTGAATTTTGTTTCTTGAACAAATCCATAGCTAAAACAACATTATTATGTGCACTCAAGTGTTTACCGACATGTTTTCTTATTAAATCCGATCGATTCCATGATTTGAAACCATCACTAACAAAAGCATCACCTCCAAAGGCATTTTCATCCTTGAATAGATAACAAGGGAAACAATAGGCAGCATCCTTTTCCACACTATACTCAAGCCAAGTCCAAGTATCAAACCACTTAGCACAAAAGCGACGATTTTTGCCAAAAATAGAAGTTTGAGGAAATGTAAAGTCTTTGGGCTGACAAGGCTTTCTTTGAATGTAAATTCTTCTCACTAAATCTCTATCATCTTTATGAAATTGACTCATTTTTCTCCTCTTTCCTGGATCTTGTGGAAGATTAGCAAATTCATGTTCACTTAATCTTTCTCCAAAGATTGGGGCATTAGGAGAACATTGGCCTTGTTCATTTTGAGGGGAATTTTGAGTTGAATAATGAGATGGAGATGAAAGTTGCTCACTTTGTTGAGGTGGAGTTATAGTTTGTTCATTTTGTGTTGGATGTGGAAGAGAAGTTGGAGTAGGATTTTTTTTAGCAAAGAAGCTAGTAATGTTTTGCATTTCATTTGGAGTATGTTTTCTCTTCATTCTGAAATTTGAATAAATATTGAACTAAATCAAGCAATATTCCCCAGAAAAATTATTTGAATAAATATTCAACTAAATGGTCTAAATCAAGCAATTCATAATGGACACCAGTCAGACAAGGGAGCTAGATCAAACGCAGCCAGATATAAAAAGAATCAAGTAATAGACTCTGTGCATCAAATATATATCTAAAATCAAGGGATCTCATAAGAGACTTTGACCCAAAGATCAACAGAAAAGATATCCAAATTTGACAAGCCAAATACTTTACATAACATGTGTAACAGTGTAAGCACCTTTTAATGGGAAATAAATAATCAAATGTCTACATACTTAAGGATGGGAAGCACAATAAGCGGAGTGAATCATTAGATGATTAATTAGCACAATTCTATTCAAAATGACAATCAAATAAAGAAGCAGGAACATTAAAGTATTTGAATACCAAGTTTCATACCCTAATTTGCAGCCAATGACCTATTTTTCTAAGATATCAAATATTTTTCTAATTATGATTGACTAAAAAAAGAATATTGGATGATGCCTAAAATAATCGAAAACCAATTGAACAAATAAAGACAAAAAAATCGAAAACAAATCAATCAAATAAACCCCAAAACAATCGAAAGCCAATCGACCAAATAAAGTCAAAAAATCGAAAACAAATCGATCAAATAAACCCCAAAATAATCGAAAACCAATCGACCAAATAAAGCCAAAAAATCGAAAACAAATAATGATCAAATAAACCCCAATAAAAACGAAGCGATTTTGCTGAAATACACCCACAAAGATTGAACCAAAAAAATTCGAATACACATTGAACATGTCGAAAACAACAGGAACATATATGCAAAAATCCACGACAATCAAACCCAAAAATTTGAAACTAAATCAAGACAGAGAAACAAGATCGAACCTGATAAATGTGACGATGGGAAAGTCAATTAGTCATCTTCCACAACCTCGGACGCGAAGTCACGAACAGAAGAATGGAGATGAGGCGATTAACAATGGAGGCGATTAGGCGGAGAAGGCAAAGTCACGACTCACGATTCACGAAGAGAAGAATGGAGGCGATTAGGCGGAGAAGGACTGAAGGAGAAGTCACGATTCACGAAGAGAAGAATGGAGGCGATTAGGCGGAGAAGGAGAAGCCAGAGCACGAAGAGGCTAGGGCTTGAAAGCCTTGAACTCTCCGTCTCTCCTGTAACTGATTTTAATTTTTTTTTTTTTTTTTTTTTTTTTTTTTTTTTTAAATAACTTAAAATTTTTTTTTGGGCCTGGTGAGTCACTTGACCCACCAGGTCTAAGCCCAAGTCCGCCACTGTTGTTGTGAAAGAATCATCACTAACATCTTATGATATTAACTATGAACCTCCTCATTATGGTTATTATTCGAGATTATATCATAAAATACAGGAGGCAATTCAATTGAATGAGAAATTACATTGGATTTCACGGTTTGATAATATTTATTTCATACTTAAATTTGATTTGGTTGATGAAGTATTTGAGAGAACAGACAATCAGACGCAGGTCATGAAAGGCATCAGGGGAAGTGTATATGCATGTCTTGGAATCACAAGACGCAACAAGTTATGTGTTTGCCAAACTATTACTTGTAATACTCCAACATGTGTTGAAGTTTGGATGTTGGAGGGGTATGATAACCAAGGACAAAACGAGTCGTGGAAGAGACTGTTTAGGCATACAGGAGACTGGCAATATCTGGGAAACGAACATCGGTTGCTTAAGATTACTGCTCATGCTAGGGTTATGATCATAGAAAAGAAGATAACCAATATGGATTTTATGCTTATTCTTGACGCAACTCAAAATACATTGAAATATGTTCAAGTCAACAATAAATATACTGCACCACATAAAAAAGGTGATGAGTTTGTCTATTCCATCAGCTATGTTGAAACTTTGATTTCACCCTATTCATATTTGATGATCTTGAATTAAAAATTGTCAATTAGAAGCATTATCTGATGTAATCAACAACAATGATGTATTACATGCGATGAATCAATAAATGTAATTCTGCATCTTAATTCATTCAGTACTTTAAATAATTGTTCGTTGTACCTTTTGCAAAGTTTTCTTATTTATGTTAGCCAGTAATTTATGGAAAGCATCCAGAGATCTACACCGGATCGTTGGCTAATCTACATTTTAGAAACATAAAGGCAACATTTTATCTGTACTAGAGATGGAGTCACTCCCAAACTTTCGAAAGCATTAATCTAATTAGCTAGGTGTATATAATTAGCAATCGTATTTCCAGTGCGCAAGTAATATGGTAAGAACATTTTGAAGAACAAGTGAATAATTTTATTATTCTCATACAACAATAAATTGATGCTAGTTCCTTTGTCGGCAAAGCATGAGAAGAATAAAATGCAAAACATATGTGATATACAATTGAGAGGTACACACTATACTGGAGCAATCACAAGTTTAAATAGAAACATATAACTGATATGAACTAACAACGAGCAATGTTATTGATGGTTGATGATGGCTACTGGCTAGCTGTTTGTGAAGGGAAAACATCCTTATCAGTACTTTCTTGACTGCCTGCAGTTGGTATGCTGTAAATTATTGTTGAATATGATGAAAAGGGGTATAAAAATGTTAACTTCCAATTTTTAAGAAGCGCCTGGGGCACTTTCACCTGTAATTATGCATTTACATGCGGGTTACAGACATTGATATCACCTTCTCTAGTATGTAATCAATCAATCAATCAAACCCTTAATCCCGTAAGTGGGGTCAGCTAACATGAACCAAATTTGATTATTCCGTGTAGTTATCGACATAAATCTTCCTCCTCCATCCTTTACGATCCAATGCTTCATCCTCATGCAATCCATACACTTCATATCCTTCCTAACTCCTTCCAACCAAGTCATTTTCGGTCTCCCTCTCCTTCGTTTAACCCCTCTATGGTCCCACTCTTCCACTCTTTGCACCGGTGCACCTTCGGGTCTCCGTCTTACATGCCCAAACCAACGCAGGCGATTTTCTCTTAGTTTATCTGCAATGTCTACCACACCTACTTTCTTGCGAATAACCTCATTTCTGATTCTATCTCTTAGAGTGTTCCCACACATTCACCTTAACATGCGCATTTCCGTAACCTTCATCTTTTTAATGTGCTTCTTCTTAGAAGCCCGACATTATGTACTATAGAGCAACACTGGTCTTATGGAAGTCCTATAGAATTTTCCCTTCAACTGTAAGGGAATTCTTCGGTCACATAACACTCCCGTGGCCGCTCTCCATTTAAGCCACCCCGACTTAATCCTGTGAGCCACGTCTTGATCAATGTCACCATTTTTCTGGATAATTGACCCAAGATACTTAAAGCATTCACTCATGGTCAAATCCTTTCCATCCAAACTCACCACTTCATGCTTGTCCCTCTCTGAGTACCAAAATGACATACCAAATATTCAGTCTTACTCCGACTTAGCTTAAACCCTCTAGATTCCAACCTTTGTCTCCATTGCTCCAACTTAACATTAACCCCATCCTTAGTTTCATCCACCAAAACGATATCATCTGCGAACAACATACACCATAGAACCTCATCTTGAATTGGTCTAGTTACTTCATCTAGAACCGTTGCAAAAAGAAAAGGGCTTAATGCAGACCCTTGATGCAATCCGATTGTAATAGGGAAATATTTTGTCAACCCTCCATACGTCCTCATATTTGTTGTCACATCCCGATACATATCCTTAACCAGGTCCACGTACCTTCGTGGGATACCTTTCTTCAACATTGCCCACCAAAGTACCTCTCTTGGCACCTTATCATATGCCTTCTCTAAATCAATAAAGACCATATGAAGATCCTTCTTCTTTACCCTATAAAACTCCATCATTTGTCTTAATTATCAAATGGATTTCTTCCACAGTTGATCTCCCAGGCATAAAACCAAATTGGTTATCCAAAATGCTTGTGCATGCCCTCAACCTATGTTCAATCACCCTTTCCCACAACTTCATATTGTGGCTCATAAGCTTTATCCTTGATAGTCGAGACCAAGGTGCTCTTCCTCCAATCTTGCGGGATCCTTGTAGCCTTCCATATCTTGTCGAAATGGTCTGTTAACCAATCAATACCAATCTTACCCAAACACCTCCACACCTCTATCGGTACACCATCAGGGCCAACCGCCTTCTTAAGCTTCATCTTCTTCAGTGCAATCTCCACCTCTACTCTCCTAATCCTCCGCACATACTCCATGTTGATCTCTTCATCACTCACGGAGGTATCTCCTGTTACAACTCCATTACTTCCATTAAACAATTCATCGAAGTACCCCTTCCACCTGTCCTTGATCTGATGTCCTCCTCTTGTACTAGAACCATTTGGTTCTTATCTTTGACACACTTCACCATGCCAATATCCTTCCTTGTCTCTTGTATTCTCTTTGCCATCTTATAAATGATCTTTCCTCCCTCCTTGGAGTCAAGCTTTTCATAAACCTCCTGATAAGCCTTTTCTTTTGCTTGGCGAACAGCTGCCTTTGCCTTACTCTTGGCCTCTTTATACGTTGCAAAGGTTTCGTCACTTTTACGTTTTCCCAAGGCTAGATAGCATTCCCTTTTTTGCTTAATTACTGATAACTTGCTATTAAATATGATTTTAGGGTGTTTTTGAACCTAGTTTACTTGATAAATTTGTGTTTTGGTTCACTTTTACTCTATTGTTATGCAATTTTTGTGTATCCTATGCTTCACGGGTTGTTAGTGTTTTTGTTGAGATTTTAGGTCCAAAGACGACCAAATGAAGCGTGTGGACTTTAAACCGAGGTTAGAAGCAAGAAGATGGTAGAATGAAGCCAAGGAAAGGAGTAATATAGAAGAAAAGATGGAGAAAAAGGCTTAGAAGAGCCTGCACGGCCGTGCCAAGTCTTGCACGTTTGTGCAGGAGTGCTCCAGCAACATAAGAGCTTCTGCCTTGCCCTGCACGCCCGTGCAAGTTTAGGCACGCCCATGCAAGATACCTAGCATGTCCGTGCAGAAATGCTCCAGAAAGTCAGAACCTTCTGTCAAGGTCCGCACGGCCATGCTTAAGTTGGCACGACCGTGCAGAAGAGGCTGCACGTCCGTGCCATAACTAGCATGTCTGTGCAGGATTTCAAGCCCAAACAGTAGCTTCTATCCTGCCCTGCACGACTGTGCATAGGGCGGCACGTCCGTGTCTAACCTGGCACGTCCGTGCCGACCTGCAGTCGAGCCCGATTCTTGTTTTCTCCATCCTTTTTATTTGGGGGTCTTATAAATACCCCTTTTGAGTTCATTTGTATGGATCATCAATGTTTTTAGAGCTTTCTCTTAGTTTTGCAATCCTAAATTATTAAATTCTCAAATCATTTGTTAGATTCTAATTGTTTGGGGTCCAAATAACTTATATTTGGGCCCAGTCCACAAATGAAAATAACTAAAGCCCAATAGGCAAGGTTCAACCCTCATACTCTAAAGCCAAGTCAAGTAAAGCACGGCCTAGTCATATGGCAGCCCATTTGACTACTCAAGATCAATCCACTCCATTGGAACAAGGTATAAAAACTCATATTTTTGCATAATTACAGTCATTCACACAAATTGCCTCAAGCAACAAATTATCTTGCATAGATCTTCTCTCACTACCTTACATCCGTATTGACTTCGGCATCGGAGAGACCTTCCTCGGCACAACCCCCGAGGCCAGTTTACGTGTGTTCATCTGTGCAGGAAATCCTCAATTCGGTCATCACTCGAATTGGGCTTCATCTCCACTCATCCGAAGGACCTGCAGAAGGTCCATTGTTTTCTAACCGAAACACTAATTATTAGCTTGGAAATATTCAACTTCAATCATTGTAGAAGACAAGTTCCACCATTGTTGCTCACTTTGAAGCTTCATAGTAACTATTTCTTACCCTTCTTTCTATTTCTCTCTACTTTGTTGTTAATTACTTTCTTAATGCTTGCATGCTTAGATTGTTAATTATTTAGCTTAATCCTTAGTTTGAACTTGTTCATGAATTGCTTGAAATCTTTAATTGCTTTAATCTCCATGGATTGTAAGTAGTATTATTTCTAGGGTTTGGGTAAAACCCTCAATGTAGTCACTAATTTCTTGTTACATGTAATAATTGGGTAATTATTGGGTGTTGATTAGTTGAGCTTAAGTGGTTTAATTGCTTAGTTCTTGTATATGTCCATTGCTAGAACTATTTATCCAAGCTTTCTCAACGAAGGATCGATAGATGAACTTGAGTTAGCTCCCTTATGCTTAATTAACTTGAAATGCCATGAGAAATAGGACTTTCCGGTCAAGGGAATGTTTATGTCATCGTGATTATGCTTTAACACTTGTTTTATGCCTTGTAACCACGAGAGTAGGTTGTATTCATGATTCAAGTAATCTCTCTAGCTTGAGAGAGTAGTTGGTGCCTTAGATGACTTCCCCTAATTTATCCCCTTAATTTACCTTGATTGTTGCATGCTAATCATGATTTGTGATAAAGTTGAGTGGTATAACCCGAACCTTAGATTCCTCTAAATATTGTTAATCTCCTCTTAGCTCTAGTTGAATCGAACTAGTAGAAGTTACTCAAGACCAAACCAACTTCGACTTCATTTAGCTTATTTAAACAGTAGTACTCGGTAGTTGATTCAACGCCTCTCTTGGGTTCGACCCTTTCTTACCTTTGTTATTAGTTAGTGAGACCAAGATAGGATTTATTATTTTGGTAGGCTAGACGACGGCCTATCAATTACTGCTTTCACCTCTTCATTCCACCACGAAGTATCTCTCTGTATCGAAGCTCTTCCCCTTGATTCCCCTAAGACCTCTTTGGCCACTATCAGGAAACAGTTCTTCATTCGTAACCAAGTCATGTCAGGATCCACCTATCCATCCCAATCCTCCTCCTTAATAACCTTTTCTGTAAAAACCTTAGCCTTTGCATCCCTTAGAGTCCACCATCTTATCATTGGCTCCTCTTGTCTTCCTTTTTTCTTCGCCTTCTCTTTCAAACGGATAGTCATTACCAAAAGCCGGTGTCAGGTGACCACACTCTCTCTTGGGATGACCTTGCAGTTTAGGCAACTCTGTCTATCTGTGCTCCTTGTGAGCAGGAAGTCTATTTGTGTTGCATCTGCTCCACTCCAAAAAGTTATCAAGTGTGAATCTCACTTCTTAAACCAAGTTGTAACACCTTAGAAATTCCTTTCCTTTAGAATACCTGTTTTGTCCTTTTTAAAATACGAAATAGGAAAATCTAAGATATTACCGCCACCGTGAAAACGGCTAAAGCAAATATCAAAGGCACACAGTGGAAGACTTTCTTTAAAACCATTCAAAATAAGTCAACTTAAAAGTCAAACCAAACGCAAGAAAAGTCAAACAAAATCAAACAAAGTCAAACAAAATCAAACTACAACTTGGAACCATTGTAGGCCCTTAAAACCAAACAATACTGAAAACCTTTGCATTAGTCTCATGAGTATAATAAAATAAATAATATTCAAAGCAAATAAAACACATCGTATTCCTATGGAAACTAAGCATGATTCGCTGTTCACTCATGCCCATCATGAAAATGCTTCATCACCTGAAAAACTTCTCTCTACTTGTCCCCACTATTCGCCATTAGAAATGGGTCGTCGTAGGGCCAAGGTCAAGACAAGGCCAAACAAACATACAATACACAATCAGCAATGCTGAGAACGTAAGCATAATAAAATTACACTATCATCTTTCATCCTATCTTCACACAACTTACCTTGTTGCACCTGTAAACAAGCATACAAGACATACAACACTTAATTAGACAAGTACCAATGCCCATTTAATATAATTACGCATTGAACGGGTTTTCCCCTAACCTGCCCCAATAAAAGGGTACTAACACGGGAGTTAACCGTGCCAGTATAAAAGAACCACTCGTAAGTGGCAGAATTCCTGCGCATAATAAAAAAGAATATACAGCGTCCTGTACTCCCAGTAGAAGTTATGGTCAAATATAAAGTCACATAACTCCCCCCCATATGTTCATACTCAAGGTATATACGTTCCAAGAGTTTTGGTGCGTAATCTCTTTCACTTTACGTTGCTTTATATATTATTATACTTGGTGATGATGACTCTCAAATCATAACACAATCAAACATTATAATTCATTCAAGTAATCAAACATATTCATTTAATTCTTGAATAATTAGTGACCACATAAATTTAATGTTGAATCATTTTTAAACTACCTCGGTGTTAAGTAACACCTTAAGCACATAAAACACCACAAATTCTATCCCTCAGTGTTTAGAACACCTTAAGTGCACTTAGGCACCAAAATATAGTTTAATCCTCGTGTACATAGACACTTAAACAACTCTTTTCTCATGCTTATAGCATCATTAAAAATTATATGAACCATAATAAAATTTCTTTTTTATATTCCAAACCAAATTAAACATTTAGTTTAATTAAACATGCTCTCTAACATGCCAATAATAAAAGTGTGGTTCATAATCAACATGCCAACATAATTAATTTCAATCACCAATTCATCATAAATAATTCATACATTACAAATCATTTACCAACATCAATCCAATCAGCAATTTTTCAACCATCACCTATCATGATACTACTTGGAATTAATTAAACAAAGCCTAGCATACTTCTACATATTCAAAGAATTACCAAGTACGCGAACGTACCTTGAATACGATCTCAAAATCGCCACGACTAAATAAAATCACACACTTGGAAACCTCCTACAAACCAAAATTACAAAGAGGCATTAATACCTATTTCCACACAAATTTCCAGCAATATATACACTCTTTAAATCACTCATAAACCCTCTAAAACAAGCTAAAA